TATCTATCTATCTATCTATCTATCTATCTATCTATCTATCTATCTATGGAGTAGATTGCACCAGGAGTCAGGGCTCCACTCATGAGGTGGCTGTGGACACTTGGAGAAGCCCTGTTACCTCCCTCTCTCATGGCTATGGGACAGGGTAAGTTGGATAAAGTATAAAAGTATTTGGTCACCTGCTTTGTATAACCTGCCTCAGAGTAGGCAGTGTGTCCCCAGCTGCCAACTCTGAGCCCTTCCTGTAAGGTAGGAAGGAGTCTTAGTCCCTCTGGGGTGTCTGAAGTGTCCCACAGGGACTCAGAAGTGCCCTAGGGTTGCTACAGTATCCCCAGACCTCCCTGTGACACATTTTGATCTAGGAAGCGTGACTCCAGTCGTGGGATGCCCAGTGAACCCAGGAGTCTTATAACCCAGACGGAGTTCACTTACACAACAGAAGACTTTCGCTGCCATATTCTGGTCAAACTGGCCAAGGATGATTCGCACGTCGTTCCCCTGTGGGCAGAAAAGAGTATGGAGGTAAATGAGGATATTCTCAGTGCCAGGACCAGGGGACCATTCCATGCCCAGATTCACAGCCAAGAGCTCTGCCAACAGAAAGGAAGGTGAAGCCCCCTCCCCGTGCTGTGAACCCCAGAGATTAGTTATGCTGCTCTGGGGCAAGACAGCACACCACAGAGTCTCCCCGATCCTCTACCAAGGACACTGGGCTATCTTGAATCTTCTTTCTCATTTTGTCTACAGGGAAACTGAGACCACAGGAGGGTGACAGAGCCAGGATTCCGAGCCAGCCATACTGTCCGTATGTCTTGGTCTTTTCTATTCCCTTGATAGTCAGTCTCCTGAGATGTCCTTTGAGTTCACAGGGCTCCCTAGGTCACAGCTTTTGGGGTACTTTGGAGTCACATTAAAAATCTAAGTGCCACCAACAAGCTGTGAGCGGCTTCAGGTGTCTTCTGTCTCATCTCGGCTTCACTTTGCTCCCCTGAAAGATGAGGACAGTGGTGGCTCCTCCCTTGTAACGGGTTCTGGGAGAAGCACCCTTCAGGAGATGCTGACCACAGTGCCTGGCACACAGCACACACCCCGTGAGTGCTAGCTAGCCATGTGTCTGTACCTCCCCCAGCCCATCTCCATTTCTGCCTGCAAACTCTACCTTGCTGAATTTAGATCACCACCGGGTGGCTAACAGATGAGTATTGCCTAGAAAAGCCCATGAGACTCATGCATTCACTCACCAAACATTTACCAAGCACATGCCTGAAGTTCCCTGTCACAGGGACCCAGCCTGGGCCCTGCCATCAGGAGGCCAGTTGGGTGCTGGCTGATGCCTGACCCTGCCCTGTGGCTTCCTGACCTAGCTTTGCAGGAGGCACCTGTTGGCCTTTGTCCTCTCTAGGCACCCAGGCCCTCTGATGGTGGGGAGCAGGAAGCAGGGCTTTAAAGATCAGTTTTTAGCAGCCTTTAAAATTGGAAAGTGCTGACTGGGAGGCCATATTACTCATCATGTGTGTTAGCAAAATAAAGCCCTGTGCTAAAACTAGCCTTTGCTTGCAAGTAAGAATGGGAAGAAGAGGGGGAAAAACTCCACACTTGCTCAGAAAAGGACTTTAAAGGGTCGTTAGCAGGCACTGGATTAAGGCGAGCCTTTGTCTCCACAGTCTGCAGTGCTATAAAAAGTTTCAGGCTGCTTCCGTTCTGCGGCTGGGCTCCCAGGAGCATGCCAGCCTTCCCGTTATTGGCTGAAAGCTTTTTTACATTACTTGCTGCTAACAATGTTTGTCTGTCCATCTGTTTGTCTATTTGTCTGTCCATCCAAGCATTATTTACTCGTCCATCTTCCATGTTTACTGTGCATCTAGATTGCTAACCCCACTGGCTAAATATGGTACAGCAAAACAGCCAGTTGGGTTTCAGAGCCAGAGAAACTGGGTTCTGAATCTAGCTCCATACCTGGGCCTTAGTCTCCTAAGCCTGCCTCTTGTCACATCTGAAGCAGGCACTGTCTTCCCTGTCCTCCTCGCCCTGCCTTGTGATGCAGGTGTCCAGGGCTCATTACAACACAGCTTGCCTTCTGGTCTTCAGGGTGTTCCCCGTGGCTCTCTGCCACCCTTAATCCCTCCTGTCAGCCCTCCTCAGATTCACCCTCTGGTACCCTATTCTGCCTTCAGCTCCATACTGCATCCAGCCTGTGTCACCCTCCTGAACTTAGCCCCTGCTTTCCACAGAGCTCGCCTATTGGTGTCTCTTGGCTCCTGCAGCTCAACATGTCCCAAGCTGAACTCTCATCTTTCTCTACAAGCCCCTTCCTCCTCCTGTTTGTGTCTCTGGGAACTGGGAGTGGCACCACAGCCTCCCACTCGCTGAGCTGGAGACTGGAGTCTTTTTCCACTCAGTGATCTCCCTCCCTCCCACTCCGAGCCTCAGCTTGCTGGTTCCACCTGTTCACCAGCTCCAGAGCCAGCCTGTCCCTGCAGCCCTATCCTCTGGGCTTGGTCAACACTCCTCTTCCCTTAGAGAATAGCTGGACCCCTGCCTTCACTCTTTCACGTCCAGTGGCCTCTACAGAGGAGGGAGAAAAATAGCAAACTCCAGATCTGACTGAAGAAACCTGAGATGGCTCCCAAGCTAGATCAAACACTCTTAGGATCTTGAGGTTCTTCACCTACCATCTCCATTTTCACTACTTTTCTACGGAGTAAGAAAGAACTACCTGCAGTTCTGAAGATACATTCGTTTGTCATTCATCCACCCACTCACCCACTTACCATCCACATATCGATCAATCCACCTGTCTACCAATCTATTCATCCATTCATCCACCCATCAACTCATCCATCCGTCCATCTATCTATTCATCTATCTGCTCATCCGTTTACATATCCACCAATCCATCCATCCATCCGTCCATCCATCCACCCATCTGTCAATCCATCCATCCATCCATCCATCCATCCATCCATCCATCCATCTCATCTGTCTACACATGCTTCCACTCTCACACTGACCCCTCCTCTTTTGTACAAGTTTACATCCCAAAGGTCCTTCTCTCTCTCTCTCTCTCTCTCTCTCTCTCTCTCTCTCTCTCTCTCTCTCTCTCTTTCTTTCTCTCTTTCTTTCTTTCTCTCTTTCTTTCTTTCTTTCTTCCTCTCTCTCTGTCTCTCTCTCTGTCCCTCCCTCCCTCCCTCCCTCTTTCTCTCTTTCTTTCTTTCTTTCTTTCTTTCTTTCTTTCTTCTCTTAAAACACTGTTTCTCACCCCTCATCTTAGCTCTCCTCTCTTACTTGCCATGCTATTTATTCATCAAGCCCACTGCCCATTCCCCACTAGGCTGAGAGAACCTACAATTGCCTTCACCATGACCTGAATCCACTTTAATTTTGTCTTCCCCTGACTCAAGGGCAGCATGACTCCCCTCAGGCCCCTGGGCCAGCACAGGGCATGCTGGATATAGGAACATGCTGGCTCTGGAGCTGGTGAACAGGTGGAACCAGCAAACTGAGGCTCGGAGTGGGAGGGAGGGAGGTCATACCTGAGGCCTGATGCTAGGAGAGGATGCTGACACAGTCCTGGAGCCTCATGGTGGGCCCTTGGCTGCTCAGCAGCTGACAGGCATGATTGTCACTGTACTGATACCCTGCTAGTTCTGGGGCCTGGTGCTGTCTGGGTTCACGTGTCTGTTTCTCAAATGGACCAAAAGGCCCACATCTTTATGGTGACCAACTCCCCACCGCTGACAGATAAACAGCCAGCTCTGCCCTTCCACTTTGTCCAGTCAGTGTCTCTGTTGCTATGGCAACTATGCTGCAAGGACCACTTGGCTATGGGCTCTCAAGATGTCAGGTTTTGATGGGCCTGAGGAATCATAGATCCAGGAATTCCCCTTTCTAAAGAGGCTAGTGGCTTCCCCCAGCTGTGCAGCACCCAGAGCTGGACTCTCCCTCTGGTGCTCAGGACCCTCAGAGGGCCCTGAAGAAAGACATTGTTGGGAGCGAGGCCTGAGGCAGAAAGCTATTCCTGTCTACTGTGTTCTGGAGAGTAGAGAGCCAGGAGGGCAGGGAAGAGCCTGGGCCAAGGTGGGTTGCTGCCTTGAGAACAGGTGAAGTGTTGAGTCAAATGGGAAACATGCATCTGAGGGGATTTATGGGGGGGTTGTGTTTCCTCACCCTGGAGGGACATTTGTTTGTAGGACACAAACGTATACACACACACACACACACACACACACACACACACACACACACAGCACATACACATATAAGCTCTGGAACCACATTTGTCATTGTCCAGAAGATTAACCTCTTCCTGGAAGTCCAGAGGGTGAAAAATAAAACTCAGGTAGGCAATGGTTTTACTCTGGCCAGTGCCTCACCCTGCCAGGCTGGAGCTCACCTTCCTGATCTTAGGGCCTGGGGCAATTTAAGAGGAAAGGCTCCATGAAGCAGGCTTGTAGTCTCAGCTAAAGCAGGGGATCACACACTCAAAGTCAGCCTGGGCTGTGTAGAGAGAGACTTCAACTCAGCTGTACGGAGCTCGCCTAGCATGCTTGAGGGCCTAGGTTCAAACCTCTGTGCTGAAAATTACATAAGAACGTGAAAGGCAATGGAGGAAGATCCAGGTGTGTCCTTGCAGGTGACAATGACAGAACAAAGCTATGATCTCTGGAGAAGAAGACCATAGCTGAGGGTATCGACTGGACAATCCCAAGCTTTCTTGACTTGACTCTTCTGGGGCCTCCTGGAGTGAAGGTGAATGTCAGGGCAGGTGACAATTTCCATGATAGCCCCCAGTATAACACTCTGCATTCATACCCTAGGAGGCCACTGCCCCAGGAAGGGCATTCTGAATGAGGCAGTCATGGGGGTGGAGTGGAAGTGACTGAGGGCTGTCCAGTTCCACACAGACCCTCACACCCAGAACCCTGTCTCAGACTCCCAACTCCTAGAACCTCCGTAAATATAAAGAGTATGCCCTAGCCCTGGGTAGATGTCCTTTCTCCTTTTTTGGTCCTCTTTTATCTTTTGTCCAGAACTCCTGTGTCTCCAGGATCCTCTAGGGACCTAAAGTCACACACTTATGAATGAGCACCCAATCCATTGCGTGAATTTAACTCCACTTTGTGCGGGTCCTAACACAGCAAGAACCCGCAGGCTCCATCTGGCTGGCAAATGGCAGCTCAGCCCTTTCTTGAGAGAGAGAGACATCATTGTCATGGCCACCTTGAGCAACGAAGGCTCAAAGGATTCAGCAATGGATGATGAGGTCACCCTGGGCCCCAAGTGGCAGTGAGCATGGCCCTTCTCTAGAAAGTGCCTACGGCTGAAGGGGCAAGACCACACTGTACACACCAGCGGACGGCAGCTGCTGACAGACAAGGGAGGAAACATGCCCCTGTACACATCCCAGATCTGTGGGGTGTCTGCGGGCGTTCTGGGCTAGCCCTCTTACTGCCTCATCCTGCTTCTAGCCTTCTCCTGAGTCTATACTCTCTGACAGC